AGATGAGAATGTGTGTTTTTATTTCATTCTTTGGAGAGTATTTTCTCTTTCTTTTGAGTTGATGGGGGAGATAAAAAAAGAAAATAAAAAATCAATAGGATCCACTTTTCTATGCTAAGGCCGTTTATATTTATGTGGCCCCTTTTTTACAAGTGGGGGAATAAAGAAATAAAAATTAGTACACCACTATTTACTGTGAGATGGTTATTGTGGGATCCGCTTATCACTCTTGACGGTTCCGGTTGACGTTCATCTTTTTGGCGATTGTGGCGTCTTTCCGTGGGCGGCTTCTTTAGGATATCTGCACCGATCGATCACCTCGAATTTCGTTCGGCTCTATAGCGGGTAGAGTTGTCATTTAAGGGGTCTGATCGGCCTTTGGACGATCAACTTGGAGTACCTGTTTGTATATTTATCTTTTTACGTAATTTCGGCTCCTCGGTTATTGGGCTGCTTCTTTATTGGCCCATTTATTATTTAATTAGTTGGAGCCAAATTGGGTATCATAAGAGGCCCCCGAGTTTAGAACATGTTCTGGATTGAACTGTTATGAAGTCGCGTATATTTTATACAATTTAGCAACGTTCTCACCTCATGATCTTTTGAGCTTCGAGCTCTTTATTTTTACGTAAGAATATTTACGCAACGAAAATTATTGGTGAAAGCGCAAATATGTTGACGAGCATGCGTGACGAATAATTTTTGTGTGATTCACGAGATCACTCTTTATCTTGTCGACTTTTATTTTGTGTGTCTCGAGGACTCATTTAATCTATGTCAAGAACTTTGGTTACTCAGATCGTGGTTTTGTCGTTTTTCGGGCGCTTTGGGACCCTTGCGCGTTTTGTTTGATCATTACAGGCTTTGGCCTGACGTATTTACAATAATTACGCTTTAATCTTTGACGAGTTGAGTCAGTCTGAGAGAATGTACTAAGTTGCTATTGGATGATGCCTGAACGACCTTGTCGGGTAATTTGGTACCCCTTTTTATGTAGAAATGCATTTTGAATTGTCGACATGAGTGAGCTTAGAGCTCTTTGTTTGAGTGAGCTTTGAGCTCTTTATTTCTTACGAGATTGTATGCATAATGCGATCATATGAGGAATGCGTGAATATATGATAAATGTATGTGATGAATGTATGATAGATGTATGTGATGAATGTATGATAAATGAGCGCACCTTGTGGCATATCTAGTTTGGCCGAACTGTTTTTGGAGTTCGGTTTTTAGTTTTAGGCACTTCGACCTTACGGCTTGTAGGCCTTTAGTTTTACGGCATTCTGGCCTTATGGCTCGTAGGTCTTTAGTTTTACGGCATTTCGACCTTATGGCTCGTAGGCCTTTAGTTTTACGACGTTTCAGCCTTATGGCTCGTAGGCCTCTAGTTTTACGGCATTTCGGCCTAATGGCTCGTAGTCCTTTAGTTTTATGGCATTTCGGCCTTATGGCTCGTACACCTTTAGTTTTACGGCATTTCGGCCTAATGGCTCGTACGCCTTTAGTTTTACAGCATTTCAGCCTAATCGGGCCCCTTTGTCGAGCCCGGCTTGTGCAATATTGCACTAATGATTATGATGGCGCATTACCCATCCGATCCGCTCGTTGGGTCGGGTAGTGGTCTGGCCTGGCCAAGCTTCATGATCGAGCTCGGCACTTATTTATTACCTTTTTTACGTTGGCGACTGTGGCCTGACCGGGCTACGTGACTGAGCCCTACTTGTGCCGGCCGGGCCATCGTACTGACTCGACCTGTACATAATTACGTGGCAGCTTACCTGACCGGTCTCGCGTTCGAACTCGGTGGTATTATTGGCCTGACCGGGCTTCCTAGTTGAGCCCAACTAGTGTCGGCCGGGTCATCGTACTGATCCCGAACTGCACGAATTTATTACTTGGCCGAGCCTCATGATCGGGCTCGGCATTTATTTATTACTTTGGCGCGTTACCTGTCCGACTTGCTCGTTGAATCGGGCGACGGTCTGGCCTTGCTGAGCTTCGCGTTTGAGCTCGTTATTCATTTCTTACATTGGCGACTTTGGCCTTACCGGGCTACTTTGCTGAGCCCGGCTCGTGCCGACCAGGCCATCGTACTGACCCGACCTGCACATAATTACGTGGCAGCTTACCAGACCGGTCTCGCGTTCGGACTCAGTGGTATTATTTGCCTGATCGGGCTTCCTAGTTGAGCCCGGCTAGTGCCGGTCGGGTCATCGTGCTGATCCCGACCCGCAGTTGGTTTCTTACGTTAATTACGCCGCTTCGACTCAATCTAAACCTAAGACGACCTAGCCTCTAAAAGCAAAAGGTAAATTACATTCTTGACCTAGCTCATCGAATAATCTATACAATAACGTCACTTACTGAGTGAGAATAGCCTAGACCTATTACTAGAACTTCTTCAGAAACGCCAAGTTTTATGGGTATTGATGGGTGCTTGCCGTCCAGGTGTTCAAGTCGGTAGGCTCCGTGTAGGAGGACGTCGTTGATTGATATGAGAGTGGTTTGACTTGGGATTTGGCGTATCCCTCGTTTCGTCTATTACATGCGGTGTTTCTGGGCTCAACTCATGGTGCTCGCCTGCAAAGTTGAGGCTTGCTCTCAGGGACTCGTCACGCCGGCGAAGTGTCGATAGGCCTGGTGGGGCTAGGGCTCATCGGCGGGAGAGATAAAGATATTAATCCAGCCGAAGCAAAGGCAAGACGGCAGTGGGAGTAATAATTAAGTTGGCCCGGCAGAGCAGGGGCTCGTGGCGGGCGAGATGTAGGTGCCAACCTGGCCGAAGAGCAGGTTCGGCGGTAGTAGAAGTGGTAACATTGGCTCGGCAGAGCAGGGGCTCGTCGCTGGGATAAGTGGAGATGTCGACCTGGCTGAGCTAGGGCCCGTCGCTGGGATAAGTGGAGATGTCAGCCCGGAAGAGCAGGGGCTCGTCGCCGGACGGGATGGAAATGTCGGCCCGGCCGGAGCAAGGGCTCAACGGCGGGAGAAGTAACAACGTCACCCCAGCAGAGCAGGGGCTCGTCGCCGGACTGGATAATGACATCGGCCTGGCCGGAGCAAGGGCTCAACGACGAGCAAAGTAACGACGTCAGCCAGTAGAGCAGGGGCTCGCCGCCGGACTGGGTAATGAAATCGGCTTGGCCGGAGCAAGGGCTCAACGACGGGCGATGTAACGGCGTCAGCCAGACAGAGCGGGGCTCGTCGCCGGAATGGATAGAAACATATGAGAGTGGTTTGACTTGGGATTTGGCGTATCTCGCGTTTCGCACGTTGCGTGCGGCGTTTATGAGCTCGGCTCATGGTGCTCGTCTGCGAAGTTGAGGCTTGCTCTTCAGGAACTCGCTGCGTCGGCGAAGTGTCAATAGGCCTGGTGGAGCTAGGGCTCGTCGGCGGGAGAGATACAGATATTAATTTGGCCGGAGCGAAGGCAAGACGGCAGTGGGAGTAATAACTACGTTGGCTCGGTAGAATAGGGGCTCGTCAGCGGGCGAAATGTAGGTGCCGACCTGGCGAAGCGTAGGTCTGGCGACAGTAGAAGTGAATTGGCGGACGAAGTAACGATGTCAGCCAGGCAGAGTGGGGCCCGTCGCCGGACTGGATGTGGACATCGGTCTAGCCGGAGCAAGGGCTCAACGGCGGGTGAAGTAACGACGTCAGCCCGACAGAGCAGGGGTTCGTTTCCGGAATGGATAATGACATCGGCCTGGTCGGAGCAAGGGCTCAACGACGGGCGATGTAACGATGTCAGCTCGGCAGAGCAGAGGCTCGTCGTCGGACTGGATAGGGACATCGGCCTCGCCGGAGCAAAGGCTCAACGGCGGGCGAAGTAACGACGTCAGCCCGGCAGAGCAGGGGCTCGTCGTCAGGCTGGATAATGACATCGGCCTGGCCGGAGTAAGGGCTCAACGACGGGTGAAGTAATAATCGTCACGACTTTCCAAGACTGAGAAGTGTTAGAGGAACGGTAAGGCATTCCGAAGGCTTGCAGCCGGCCACCTTCCCCCAATCCTTCCCGTTTTGGCTCGACTTTCACGAGTGAGGTTCGGTATATATTTTTATTCACATATGTATATATGCGTTTATTTATTATTTATGTATATACATATAATACACATATATAATACATATATGTGTTACTTATTATATATACATATATGATTATTATCACAATGTATCTATATGCACACATTTATATGTGTGACTTATTATATGTACATGGTTAATGAAACTTATAATAGTTATTACTTATTAGTTAAATGCATAGTACACATGCAGTACATATATATGCGCAGTACACACATGCGCATATTAGTTATTATTATTATCTATCTATATATAAAAAGGTTGTTGTTAAAATACCTTTTAGAAACTTTTAACAAAAAAAAATTACCTTTGACATTCTAAATATAGAAAGCTTGTAAGCATTTATAAGACACGAGATTAAAAAAAGTCATACTTGAATTCAAAAATTAATGGATTAGAGATATTATTGGGATATGTGGATAAGTCACCTTAAAGAGATAAGTCACCTTAAAGAGATAAGTCTTAGTTTGAATTAATGGATATACCATCTCAAAAGAAACACAATTAATCTTCCGTATTAATCTCATATTTTCACCTGCACATTTATCGGCTTTTTGACCGTGTGCATATCTCCAAAATCTCAATCACTTATATCTCACCCAAAAAGAATACTCTCCCTCATGTCTCACCCAAAAAAAAAATCCAAATTTCTGAAAGCCAAAAATCCCTAGCATTGACGGCAAGGTTACGGATGACGGTCGGCCGATGATAGTGGAAAGAGCAGCTGCGACGACGAAAAGGCGGCAAGAGCTGCGAGATACATTTCGGTGAATAGATCTTATTTTTTATACTTCCCGATCTACAATTTTTTCCATCCTTCTCATTGTTTTGCTTCAAGATTTGGTTTACAGACATCAATCCATTCCATTTCTTCATAAATCCAAGAGACTCACTGGGAGAGAGAAGGCTAAGGAATCATGAATTCGAGCTATGGATCCGTGGGCCCCACCATTTGGCGCCCTAAAAATTTCACCTTTGTTTTTGCTCCCTTTTTTTTATTTCAGATATTGTGCCCCAGTGCGATTTTTTGCGAGGCTTATATATAAAGGAGTTAGTAGGATCTGTGATTTTTTTCCAAATTTTGTATTGCGAGATTTATGGTGTTCTTGTGATTTTTCCGGTGTTAGTGAGTGTTCTGAGGTTTTTTAAAGTTTTAATCTTCGCTGCCCAAAAGCGTTGTGTGTAGAATTTCTGCCTTTTTTTTAGCATTTATGCTTACATCTAGAGCTTGGTCGATTTCTTGTGGGTTTTACAGTGCTTTTTTTAATTTTCCTCTGTTTGATCCTGTTGCAGCCAATGTATTCTTTGACGGATATTTTCCCGAATTTCTTGCATGCATCTGGTGGTGGCCCCCAACAGGAGGAGACGACGACCATGGTCGGGGAACTCCTCTTCTGCATCTACATCGACATCTGCATCGCCTTCTTCATCTTCCTCATAAGCCCAACAAGCCGTCCTGGACCCATCAGCGTGCAGTCCCGATCCAATCGACCGGGCAGGGATCCTTATCTGAGCCGACATCTATGGTGTGGGATATTTTCGGGAAAAGCTGGAACTCCTCGCGTCACGGGACAACATATTTTGTTTTTCTTTATTTTTGTTCAAAATGAGTAGACTAACTTCTATAGTTTACGCATAAGATGTTTTAGTCAATTTTCATAAAATCCGATTCTACGTATACAAAGATTTAAATTGATATCTCAATGATAATTATCTAAAGATAAATAGAGAATTCTGATTTTGTTACTGATTTTCAAATATCCTGTTAAATATATCAGCGATAATCATCTAAAGAAAAATCAAAAAAATTTCTTATCTTAATACGTGTATATGGATGCATTTTTTCATATCAATCTATTTTTAAAACGTGTGATTTAAATATGTTGATACACAATATTTTTATGCGTAGATGGGTCCTTTTTTATATCAACTCCATTATAGAAAACGTGTCTAAATGAAATATGTTGATACATAATATTTTTTATTAAATTTCATTTTCAGGAATCCTAAAGCGAGTAAATATCATTGTATTTCATATAAATATTTTTTCCTCAAACTCTTCCGAATACATCCACATTAAAAATTGAACATTTGAGCTATACAATAATCAGATTTATAATATAAATCAAAACTTGCAATAATTTGTTATCTACTCTATATGACACATCTACCATTATAAAAAATACAATTCAAAGTATCGTGTAATTTGATTAATATGATATAAAATAGTATAACCATGTGATTAAAATATGGACATCTAAATAAACGGAATACATCAATCTAATAAAATCCAATCCAAAAATATCTTCTCATTCTTCATCATACATCCACGTGAAAAAGAACTGCCTAAACTAATTTCCTATTCAACCGCACAAAATCTTATATTTTATTTATTAAATCTATAATTTAAATAAAATTACCTACACACACTAATTAAATCGGATTGTGATATAATAGTTCAAACTTCCACTAATTTGTTACCTATTCTATAGGATACACCAACCTAAAAAAAAATCACAAATATTTTTAACTTCAAAATAATATATATAATCTTTTTCAATTAAGTGTTGGTTATAATATTTGTCAATATTTTTCAACTTTAGCTTAACTTATTTAGAAATTGAAATAATATGTTGTAACAAGTGATGAACAAGAGAAGATAGAGATGAGTACTATTTATTTACAATATTTCAATATGTTAAATTTCCATTATCCTTAAATATAAACATGATTTGAAGTGACAATTATTTTATAACGAGTGAAATAAACATATAAATCGTATATTAAATTATTATAAATTATACAATAAAATAAAAAATAATTATTAATACTCCAAACTATTTGTATACTAATCAATATCCCTTTGGACGATAGCGGAATTGATAATTCGTGCTTCTCTAATAATATGGGATGAAGCACCAATGATGCACAAGCATTGTTTCGAAGCTGTACAGACATCGCTGCAGGGTATTATGGGAGCAGTTTGATCCTTTGAACTTGAACAAACCGTTTGGTGGGAAGCCGGTTGTTTTTGGTGGAGATTTTCGACAAATCCTTCCTGTCATTCCAAAGGGTAGCCGTAAGGACATAGTCAATGATGCCATTAATGCTTCTGACGTATGGAGGAGTTGTACTGTGGTTAGGCTTACGAAAAACATGCGCCTTCAGGGACTTGCTAATTCGGATGAACGTGATGAGCTTGCATGGTGTGCAGATTGGATAGTCAGCATCAGAGATGGAACTATCGGAGGGTTGAATGATGGATGTGCACCTATGGACATACCCGAGGACATTTTGCTTCAGCCATCTGATGATCCTATTGCTCAGATCGTTGAAAGCACATATCCAATGTATAAAGAGGCACCCGACGATCCAAGTTATTTGAAGGATAAGACTATATTAGCGTCGACGTTGGATGTGGTCGAGTCTATCATTGAGTACATGACATCATTGAATTTGTTGGATGGTCGTATGTACGTGAGCTCTGACAGTACGTGCAAATCGGATTCTAATTATGATTTTTTGTCTGATCTCCATACGCCTGAGTTTTTGAATAGTATCAAGTGTTCCGGAATACCGAACCATGAGTTGTATTTGAAGATTGGAACTCCAGTCATGTTGTTGCGGAACATGGATCATTCTATGGGTTTGTATAATGGGACACTATTGGTTGTGACAAAGCTATTGACTCACGTTCTTGAGTGTAAGATACTCATAGGAGATCATGCTGGCGATAAGGTGTTGATTCCAAGAATGGCCATAACTCCTTCTGATGTTAGAATTTTTTTCAAGTTCCAGCGGCGGCAGTTTCCCGTTATGGTTTCTTACGCCATGACTATAAACAAGAGCCAAGGACAATCTTTATCTCATGTTGGCTTATTTCTTAAGAAACCAGTGTTCAGTCATGGCCAGTTATATGTTGTTGTTTCCCGTGTCACTAACCGAAAAGGTTTGAAAATCTTAATTTGTGGCGAAGATGACATGCCAAAGAATCAAACCAATAATGTTGTATATAGGGAAGTGTTCATTAATATATGATCTTTTTAATTTAATGATATGTTTATATGTCTATTGTTAAGATCATGATCATTGCATTATTACACAATTTATATACAAATTTGTTTTTTAAAAAGAGTCTAGATAATAATATCCCCGTGCATCGCACGGGTGATTACTAGTTAGTAGTATATATAATAATATACTAATACGTTTATTATATATGTATATAGATGCTTTTAAAATTGAGGGATTGGAGTTACCTTGGGTTGGTTTTAAGTGTGGGCCTAATATTGGGCAACACTCGGATATGAATCCCATATTCCTGCTGAACGACCCATCAGTCTTATCTGCACCGATATCAATTCCCTTTCTTCCGCCATCTACAAGAGTTCGTTCAACATCTGGATTTGAGGGCGGCATCGGCGACTTGACGTTCGAATCTGCTCGGCGTCCGGGTTTGAGGGTGAAAACCGCTTCCTGGCGGCGGCGATGGTTCGGCGACCGTGGAGTCGACGGCGTGGTAGCTCGGCGTCCCATCTTAGGATGGCACCTGCCGATTGTGAGGTCGTGTCGGCAAAGTTGGGTTGTGGCTTGGAGGCGGTCTGCTGTGGCTTTAAGTTGACGGATCTGGGCTGTGGATTTGTGGTGTGGATTCGGATTAAGGTGACGATTGTCAAAGTCGGCCGGCGATTGTGATTGTTGACCCGTTATCTGGCCTGAAGGCGGAGCTCCGCGACGGTGAAGTCGGCAGCTGCTAGGTCAGGTCAAGGGCGGTGGTGGCGAACCCGGCTCGCGATTTTAGGAACCGTGGTTATTAGCGTTAGCGGCTAGGTCGGGCCCCAGCGAGATCGGCCTGGACTTCGGGGTGAAGTCGGCACCTGAGGCGTGAGATCATCCGGCCGAGACAAGGGCATCGTCAGTCCGGCGTTGGCGAGGAATACGTCAGCTCGGCACCTACAGTTTGTCGGGTCGGGCTTTCGTGTGGAGTCGGTCTGGCGGCGTGAGGTTATCTCGCTGGGGCGAATCAGTCCGGCAGCGAGGGTGTGAGGTCGGCCACCGGCCATAAATCTGTCTGGCAGCCGTGAGGCCCGGCGGTTCGATATTGACCCCGGTCTGAGGTCAGCGTTCGGCCCGCGAGGTCAACGGCTGCGAGGTCGGCCCCACTAAGTGGAGGTGGAGCTTCTCGAAGGTAAGGTTGGCTGTAGCTAGGTCTTCTCCGAGGTGGTGAGGTCGGGAGTCCGACTTGAAGCCTGTCTCTCTGCTGCGAGTGGAGGTTGGGAGTTTGCCGACAAATGAGCGGTGGTGAAAAGGTTCGATTTGGGCGACGAGGTTGGCTTTCGAAGTCGGCCCGACGGTTTGATATTAGCCCCGAGCTGAGGTTGGCGTCGGCTCGCGAGGTCAACAGTTGTGAGGTCGGCGTCGGCTCGCGAGGTCAACGGTTGTGAGGTCGGCGTCGGCTCTCGGGGTCAACGGTTGCGAGGTCAGCTAGATGGTTTTGATGTAGGGCCCGAGCTGAGCTCGACGTCGGTTCGCGAGGTCGACCCGATGACTTGAGGTCTGGGTCGGCGAGGTCTATCCTTCAACGGCGAGATCGACCCCGATGAGATCGGAGATTGGAGACGATGGGTGGCCAGTCGTGGTGGTGAGCTCTGTTCGTCAGCTGCGATCTGATGGATCCGGGCTGTGACGTGACGTCGGCTCCGTGGCTCGATGGCTTGCTATGTTGGTCGACACTTTCTGAATTCCGGCTTCTTTTTCTTATTTATTTATATATATTATTAAATGTGGATGTGATGTGAACAATATAAAGTGACGTGAACAGTATTATACTGACAGGAATAGTGCTAGGAACGTGGCTTTGTTGTGTCCAAACAAGTGGTATTATCTGCTTATTTTTTAATTCAGCAGAAAAAGAAAAGGAAAAGAAAAGAAAAAATGATTGAAGAAAGCTGCGTGAGTTCACAGCAAGGGGGGACTTCAGATTTCTAATTCCCTCAACCAAAATATCAAAGAAAATAGAATCAGAAATTCTTTGTGGGATTTTTTTTTTTTTTTTGTNCCAGTTGTATTGGTTCTAACGCTTCCAAATCGAATATATTTAGAATAATTGGATTTCTACCGTTTGACATTCTATCTCTTTGTTTCAACCTCACAGCTGGGTGTCATTTTTCATTTATGCTGTGTAAATCTCACAGCTGTGGGATTTGAGAGTTTGAGAGGTTAAGAAAAATAAAAATGAAATATTATTTCAAAATTATTGGAAAAGAACGAGTGCACCAAAGTAGCAGCTGGTCATCTCTCTTTTTTGTATGGTTGGAGCATATATTTTCCGGTGGAGATGCGGCCATTTTCCGGCGAAACTTGACTCCGAGCAAATTACGGAGCCCTTCCTCTAGCGTCAAATTGTTGATGTCGAAAATCGGACGGTCAACTGTTAAATGTAAATAGAATTGTTGTAAGAAAAAGAAGAACAAAATAGATGAGAATGTGTGTTTTTATTTCATGTCTTTGGAGAGTATTTTCTCTCTCTTTTGAGTTGATGGGGGAGATGAAAAAAAAATCAATAGGATCCCCCTTTCTATGCTAAGGCCATTTATATTTATGTGGCCCCTTTTTTACAAGTGGGGGAATAAAGAAATAAAAATTAGTACACCACTATTTACTATGAGATGGTTATCGTGGGATCCGCTTATCACCCTTGACGGTTTCGGTTGATGTTCATCTTTTTGGCGATTGTGGCGTCTTTCTGGGGGCGGCTTCTTTAGGATATCTGCACCGATCAATCACCTCGAATTTCGTCCGGCTCTGTAGCGGGTAGAGTTGTCATTTAGGGGGTCTGGTCGGCCTTTGGACGATCAACTTGGAGTACCTGTTTGTATATTTATCTTTTTACGTAATTTCGGCTCCTATTGGGCCGTTTCTTTATTGGCCCATTTATTATTTAATTAATTGGAGCCAAATTGGGTATCAACATCACTTTTTATCCAAAAATATTTATAGAAAATCGTAAC